TCAATCTATATAACTCTATATAATAAAATAAATAAAATAAAAAAAAATAAATTAGATCAGGCAGACCGCTTCAAGCCTTAAGCGAGGCAGAACGCCTGATCTGATTTTCATGCTGTCTCAGCTCCTATTTATACTAGTTTCAACAAAACATTCGCATCATTTCAATCATTCACATCAGTAAAAAACCTTTAATCAATGCTACATATGTAGGCACGCAGTTCAAATTTTTCGGGGAGAATTCAAAATAGTTTGAGACCACACCTTGCTTAACATCCAATTCCAAGCCAAGCCAAGCTGAGCTAATATGCGTAGATTTATAAGCGCTTTTCTATTAACATTTTGCTCGCTTGATATATATAGTATATAAATTCATTATTGAAGCAACAATAATCAGTGCTACATATGTGCGCACGCAGTTCAAATTTTTCTGAGAGAATTCCAAATAGTTTGAGACCACACCTAGCTTAACATCCAATATCAAGACGAGCCGAGCCAAGCCAAGCTGAGCCAATATGCGTAGATTTATAAGCGCTTTTATATTAAACTTTTGCTCGCTTTATATACGAATATCCCAATATAACAAATTTTCCATCCTATTTAAAAAATTTTCATTGATGCTTTTTAATCAGTCAGGTCAAAATCATCATCATCGATATCGCGGTGAAATCAAATTGAAAATTTTTTAATAATTGTTGATAAAAGTAACATATACATATATATATATATATAGTAAAAAGTTTAAATTTTTCCGAGAAAATTCAAAATAATTAGAAACTACACATAACACAAATGTAAAATTTGAATGTGTAAATACAATATTATAAATGTATTATAACTATATATATATATATATGTATATATATATATGTATATATATATAAATGTATATATATATATATATATATGTTTGGTAATAGACCATAATTTTTACAATATTCTATAAATTCTACCAAATGTTTGGCGTTAATATGTTTGTAAAAAAAACGAACTACAAACATATTAACGCCGAACATTCGGTAGAATTTATAGAATATTGTAAAAAAAAATATACACAATATATATATATATATATATATATATATTTCTTTATTTAGTTTTTTGCCTGCGTATGATATTTGGTTAAATTTATTTGATAGGAATTGAATATAACCTTTATACATAAATTTTATTTGATGTTTTTTAATTAGTCAGGTCACAATCATCATCATCATCGATATCGCAATGAAATCAAATTGAGAATTTTTTAAATTAAAAAAAAAGTATCTTTATTCATTTTATGATACTATTTTGTTCAATAAGATACTGTTTGATACATATAACTAGAATAAATATAACGGCCTTCGCTCACTTTTAACGGTTGAACAAGGAGCTTACTTCTGGAGGGGAGATGGAAGGTGATTTTTTATCGTTCGAGTCAAAAGTTACGATAGTATATTTACTAATTACGGAATATTGCTTTTATTTAAAATGTTAAAATTTTATTTTTTTAAATTGTTATTCAATATGGTAATTAATTACTTTTATTTGGTATAAATTTAAACAAATAAAATCGACATTACCGAAAATAATTAAAAGTTGCAAAAATTAAGATTCTTTGCATATTCCTGCTTCAACCCATAAGAAAGTGTTGTTTAATGGTAAATAGGCCTCCCCTTGGTTCTATTCACATATATATTTGATAATATATCTTCATAATATGAGTCGGTCCGTAAAAATAATATCGTTTTGGTTTGGTTTGTCTTTGTTATGGCAGACGTACACACGTAATGGAATTATAAATAGTGAAATTTAGATTTCAAATATAGTAGATTGTCGTAGCTCTACCGTCGAATACTCCATTTTAGTGTTTTGTTGTTAATTATAATTTTAAAATGATCAAATCGGATCACAGGTTATTTTTTTTCGTTTTTAAAAATTATTTTTTTGATTGATATAAAATTTAATTGAGAATTACAAAAATTAGGTAATATTCTATATTAAATTCTAATATTTGGAGGGTTACAACATTACGCAGGATAAGCTCATTTTTAGCATTGTATTGCATTAGATTAGTTACCATTAGTAGATAAGTAAAGTAAGATTCACTAAATAAAAGTTACTTTCTCTTTGGTAGAAGACACAGAGATAGAGGCGAAAGAGACAGAGATAGAGGCGAAAGAGACAGAGATAGAGGCAAAAGAGACAGAGATAGAGGCGAAAGAGACAGAGATAGAGACGAAAGAGACATCAACAGAGCTCCAGTAACAAACAAGAGGCCAAGAAGTATGTATACTAATTAGTAATTAGATTCATTTTTCTTATTCTTTCTAATTAATAACATTAATATTTATAAATTAATTATTAAAATATTAATTTTGATTTGTGTCATAACATTAAATTACTCACATTTTTTTTTAAATTATAAAACTAATTACTAATAATTAGTAAAATTTCAATTGACAGCTGACGATGGGGAGGATAATTTCATGACGAAGACAGGCGGGGCCTACATTCCCCCAGCCAAACTGAAGATGATGCAAGCCCAGATTACTGATAAATCTAGTGCACAATACCAGAGGATCGCATGGGAGGCGTTAAAGAAAAGCATACACGGGCTGATCAACAAAGTGACTGCGGCCAACATCATCGAGATTAGTGAAGAGCTGTTCCAGGAGAATATTGTCAGAGGGAGGTCTGTGGAGATGAAACTATCAAATTTACATATCTTGTTTTATATTACAATAAATTACATTATATTTATTACATATTAATTACATTGTTAATTTATTATTACATTATTACATTTCATTATAACATTATTCCATTACAAATTATTATTACATATTAATTACATATATTAATTGCATTACATTATATTGTTTTAATTTACATATCTTGTCTACCTGTGGCATTCAATGAGAAGAATTATGACTGTATTTTTAAATAATTTTTATGAGTTTATGTAAAATATTTTTGTGCCAAAATGTTGTCTCAGATTTTGTTTAATTTCCATTTAATTTTTGTTTCATACAGTTGGATACTGGAATTGAATAAACAATTTAAATTTGATTCTATAGGGGTCTGTTAGTGAGATCGTTGATGCAGGCACAGTCGTCTTCACTGATGTTCACACACGTGTATGCAGCTCTCGTCGCCATTGTTAACACTAAGGTTTCCATCCGTCCATCCATCCATCTATCCATCCACATATATCTATCTATCTATCTATGTTTCATTTCATTTTACATGTTTCTATGTTAAAATCATAATGAATAACTATTTTATTAATAAGGTTTTACATTTTTTTTGGTATTATATTTGGAAAAATTTTTGTTAGAAATTTTTAGTTTGAAAAAACTTTCCTTGAAATGTTAAAAATTTTTTTTCCAGTTTCCACAAATCGGAGAGTTGTTGATGAAAAGGTTGATAGCTCAGTTCAGGAGAGGTTTCAGACGAAACAACAAGACAATCTGCCTGGCCTGTGTTCGCTTCCTTGCTCATCTGGTCAACCAACAAGTGGTCTGGCTTTTATATTTTGCTCTCTTCTTCCCTTATTATTGATTCTACATTTTTTTCTTTACAATTCCCACATGACATTAACTTTTTTAAACTTTATATTTTATTGGCGGTTTCATTTTGCAATTATTATTCTTTCCCAGTGAAACTCCAAATAATGATTAATTCATGCAGGCCCATGAAATAATTGCCCTTGAACTTGTGACCCTTCTACTTGAGAAACCAACTGACGACTCTGTAGAGGTGGCCGTGGGATTCCTCAAAGAGTGTGGTCAGAAACTCATAAAACTATCGCCCAAGGGCAGTCAGGGTTTGTTGGGATTTTTATTTATTTCTCATTTTAATCTTTTAAATTTTTGAGACCAGCTTGTCAAATTCTAATGATATTTATTCATATTGATGTGGAATAGTCAATTTTGGTGAATTTTTTTATAAATAAAATTAAATATTAATAAATGATAATTAATTCCTCACAAAAATATTCATGTACTAGCCGTGTTCGACCGGCTGCGAACAATTTTAAACGAGGCCTCCATTGATCTGAGAGTTCTCTACATGATTGAAGTTATGTTCGCCATTCGAAAAGATGGATTCAAGGTTTTTTAATGGTTCTTTTTGTGTATTTTTTGGATACATTTACTCAATGCTTTATACCAATTTGTTAGTTTGTCGTTTATGTTTTTATTATTTGTACATTTTGAATGTAAGCTGAATAAAAACTACAAAAACTGATTATAAAATATGTAAATAAATATTAAATTTAAAAAAATAATTTTATTTTCATTTTCCAGGACCATCCTTCAGTTATATCCGACCTTGACCTGATCCAAGAGGACGATCAGTTCACTCACATGCTGACGCTAGAAGATGATGTCGATCAAGAAGAACACCTGAGTGAGTAGGATGGTGCTGATGATGATGATGACATTGATAATGATGATTATTGTGATGATGATTTACATAAGTATTGACATAATAAGGACTAAAGTTATTATTTTCATACAAGAAATTTGTAATATCAGCTCTGACTAAACTTCCTTCGATAAATTTTTCCCCAAAAAGATATTTTCAGATTCGACCCAGATTATGAAGAAAATGAGCAGAAGTACCAAGAAATTAAAAAGGGTTATTTTTTTACTGATTAATTGATTTTTCTTTGTTTTTTATCACTATTTAATTTATTATTTAACATAAGGTATCATTTTTTTTTTTGAATAACCACTACCATCTTCACGTTACCTAATTCAGAATTGCTAGGAGAGGGTTCGAACGCAGGTGAAGATGATGAGGATGATGACGATGAGGAGGAAGAGGAAGGTGGGGGTGATGACGAGGAGGATGGAGAGAAAAACGAAGGTTTTCATTCATTCTTTTTATTATTTGTATTTTTTTTCTATGAGGACATGGCACCATGGTTTTTTGGTATTCACTTCTAAGCTGTTTGATTGACTGACTGACTGACTGACTGACTGACTGACTGACTGACTGACTGACTGACTGACTGACTGACTGGTTGACTGACTGGTTGACTGACTGGTTGACTGACTGGTTGACTGACTGATTGGTTGACTGATTGGTTGACTGACTGATTGGTTGACTGATTGGTTGACTGATTGGTTGACTGATTAAATAACCTTAAAAATCAACCACCCAACTACAACGACAAATAAGAAGAGAAGCAGCTGATCCTAGACAACACAGAAACAAATTTAGTGTCTTTGAGACGGACGATCTACCTGACCATTCAATCGAGTCTGGATTTTGAGGAATGCGCTCATAAGTTACTCAAAATTCAGTGGAAACCTGGCCAGGAGGTCTGTAATGATGATGATGATGAATGATGATGACGATTAGTATGATGATTAGGATGATGATTAGTATGATGATGATTGTGATATGATGTCGTAGTTTTGATGTTTTGTTTCGCTGATGGGATTGGTGATTGCGATTTTAATGGTGGTTACGGTGAGTTTAATTTTAATGATGTTAATTAACACACGCACACACACATAAACAAACACATACATACATACATACATACATACATACATACATACATACATACATACATACATACATACATACATACATATATACACATACATTTATGAAATGTTGCACACCTGTATGTACAATACAATTGAATTTATAATCTCACAAACATGCAAATCAACCAACAAACCAATCAGCCAACAAGCAAGCAAACAAACTAACCAACAAATCAGCCAACCAACAAATCAGCCAACAAACCATCCAACCAACCATCCGATATGATGTCGTAGTTTTGATGTTTTGTTTCGCTGATGGGATTGGTGATTGCGATTTTAATGGTGGTTACGGTGAGTGTAATTTTAATGATGTTAATTAACACACGCACACACACATAAACAAACAAACACATACATACATACATATATACACATATATACACATACATTTATGAAATGTTGCACACCTGTATGTACAATACAATTGAATTTATAATCTCACAAACATGCAAATCAACCAACAAACCAATCAGCCAACAAGCAAGCAAACAAACCAACCAACAAATCAGCCAACAAACCATCCAACCAACCAGCCAACAAACCAACCAATCAATCTGCCAATCAACCTACCAACCAATCAATCAACCTACAGACCGAACTATGCAACATGATAATGGATTGCTGTGCCCAGCAGAGAACCTACGAAAAATTTTACGGCCTCCTAGCCCAAAGATTCTGCATGATAGACAGGAAGTACGTCGAGCCGAATCAGACCATCTTCAAGGAGCAGTATGACACCATACATAGATTAGAGACTAATAAATTGAGGAATGTTGCTAAGTTCTTTGCTCATCTACTTCATACTGATGCCATTTCTTGGGAGGTTGGTGGTTGCGATAATTGAGGAGGTGGATTGTGGAAAATCTCCTTTAAAAATTGCTTAATTGATAAGTTAATTGATTGATCAATTAATTAATTAATTAGTTTATTAGTCAATGTCAAACTTTTTCTTCTAGGTGCTGTCTTCTATAAAATTGAATGAAGATGATACAACATCTTCGAGTAGGATTTTCATTAAAATCCTCTTCCAAGAGCTTGCTGAGTACATGGGCCTCACTAAACTCAACAACAGACTCAAAGACAGGTTCTTTTCTTTATTTTCTTTATATTCATTATTAATTTAACTTTCAAGTTTCCTCATTAAATTTGTTTTTAAACTTACTGGTGAACTTTTTTAATTGAATTTGGTGGTTTTACAAAAAAAATTTTCCTCACTAACTCAACAGCACTCTCCAGCCATACTTTGAAGGCATCTTTCCGCGTGATAGCCCTAGAAATACTCGGTTCTCCATTAACTTTTTCACCTCTATTGGCCTCGGCGGATTAACGTAAGTGAAGTTGCTTTGTCTGCTTTTTGTATTGCTATTAATTTTTTATTTGTTTAATATTTTTACTGTTTAATTAGTTAATTTGTTTTTTCTAGAAACTAAGGTTGATGATAATTTTGTGTTTTTTTTCACACTAACTTTAAAATCATAAATTGATTTTAGGTTTGATTTTTAAATTTCCTAATTCATTTCAGTCATTACATTGATATAAACATATAATACAAACACATACAATACAAACACATACAAACTTATGCATACAATACAAACTTACACATACAAACATACGGTACAATGCACAGCACATACAAAAACATACACATACAAAACTTTATTAAAAAAATTCCAGAGATGATCTAAGAAACCACTTGAAGGCGGTTACGGCAGCCAATCAGAAAGCAGCTACCAATCAAAGAGTTCGGAAAACATCGTCGTCATCATCATCTTCATCATCGTCAGATGATGATTAATAAACGATTTTGTATCATATTCATCGCGTTTCATCATAATTTTTTGTATCAGAATTGCGAGCTAAATCGTTCACTACCATCCATGTTTGTTCGTGGTTTTGTGAACGGTAAATTGCCATTTGGTACTTCTTTGAAATGAACTGGACGAGCTGAGACAGTGGATTGTGATATTGTCTTGTCTTGTTTAATAATAATGTCATTGAACTTTTATTTTCAATTTTAACAGTTATTACATTTAAGTGTTAATTACTTAATAAATAAACATTCAAGTCAGCTCTCCTGGCTCATTATCTTAATTGTCAGGAGATAATGAGTTAAAGTGTTTGGTTGCCGTTACAATATAGAATATAATGATGCTAATCTACGTGAGAACATATCATTAGATGTTCCAAGAACAATGACTTCCTATTATTCATATAACTAAATAAACATCAAAAATCAAATATATATATATAAATATATATATATATATTCCAAGTATTATTAATAAATATATAAAATAAATCTCGAAATTAATCATTTTCCCGTAATAATTCTGAAGAAATAACTAGTTGAGATTGGCGCTATAAGACCGATTCGATAGCGGAAAATATGCCATTTAGCGTTCCCCAGTACCAATCCGCCTTGTTCTTCATCAGAAAAATTTTCAACTTCGGCTTGGCGTCGTTCAATGTTTTTTTCATGAGTGGCACTTTTATCGAGGCTATCATTTTGATATCGGGATTGAACAGCATCGCTTGTTTCAGCCTCTTCTCTGGATATTTGGAACAGTTAATTTTAACTCTAAACTTCGTGTACTTGCTGATGGCTAGGTTTCCGCTAGGAATGTCCGAAAAGAGATAAATGTAGCCTGGTTCGTCTTTTGCAGTTGGTGTCGCGACTTCCTCATTGTCGCTGTTGTAATTGATCATGGGTGTGAGGTCCTCCGCTGTGTAGTTGTGGATGAAAGGTTGATAGTGGGCTGACGTCGTTACCGGTGATGGTGGCCGTTCAGCTTCTTCGCTTTCGTTTGCCACTGAAGCTGCTGCGTCTGGTTTTAAAGAAGATGATGTTGCTGGTGGTAGCGACAAGGAAGAGGATGGAGAAGTTGTTGTTTTGGTCGTTGTGGCAGTGGATGAAGCTAGTGTTGACGTGGTACTTGGGTTCTGAGCTTTTGTTGTTGCTAAAGTTCTGGACGGAGTTGATGCTGTGGTTTTTGAGATTGCCGTTGAAGGACTGCTAATGGTTGATGTCGTTGCAGTGAATGTCTTTGTTGCAGTTGATGCAGTCGTCGTTTTGGTTGCCAATGAGGTTGTTGAGCTCGAAAAAGTGTTGCTTGATCTACTGAATGATTTCGCGGTTGGCGATGTTGGTACGGAATCTGTTTTTGTCGCTGTTTGTGTCACTGTAGCTGTAGGAGTTGCTTTTGAAACTATTTGCTTCTGCGTTAGTGATGAACCTGTAAGGAGTTTCGAAGCAGCTTGTTTATCATTCGGGGTGCCTTGGTCTGTTGTCAAATCAGTGGATTGACTCTTGTTCAATGAACTTGCAACCGACTCTCTAATTCGGTTGAGCTGTGATGTGGAGCTACTCAGTTTTGAAGTTGGTGATGATATTGGTGATAAGGTCGGGGATGATATCGGAGATGACAGTGATGAGGTTTGCAACGGTGACAGCGACGATGATGAAAGCGAACTTGCACTGATTTTCAGCTGTTTGGCGTCAACACCAGATTCTGGAGATTTGGGGACAGACGATTCATTCACTAAAACACTCGGCAGTTTTTTACTATCCACTTTTTTACCGTTTATAACCGCAGAGTTTGTGTTGTTTCTGATGGCGGTTTCCGAACATTTTGCATTTCCTGCTGTCTTTTCCTCTTCGACGGAAAATTGTTGATAAAAATCTTTGAAAGTATAATTGCGAAAATCTTTATCATCTTTTTCCGAGACGGAAAACATGGTTTCTTGGAAAGGTTTGTTGATCCTGTCAAGCACGTGCTTCCCAATCTCCGGCTTGTTTCCGCCCAACCTCCAATTCCTGAAATTTTCTTCCTCCTCATGAAGCTCCCTACAAAGTACATCGTAAGGACAGCCCCTTCGATCCAGAAATTTCACAAAATCTCTGGCTTGCTTGGCTGTGGTCAGTGGAAAACTGAACATATCCTCTTTTTCTTCAAAAATATCCATAATGTTCTTGTCTAAATAAATGTTAGTGGATGTAGTTTTGGCAGTTTTTGATTTTGTTGAAGACATTTCGAGTAGACGTTTTGATGTTATCGAGTATTTTTCTTTTTTAGATTTTTAAATTTTCAAATTTTTTAATTTGAAATTACTTTTGAGTTTTCCGAAATCGTTAACAGTGAAATTGAAATGGTTTAACCTTAGGAAAAATCAGACAGTATTAAAACAACATGTAACATGACTTTCAAACGGTGATCAGTAGCAGTGGATAATTTCAATAACAACATTCAAACATTACCTCAATTCATATACGATCCTATTTAAAACTCAATGCCTATATAATTTTAAAAAACTATGTAAACTTTAACAAACAAATTATCCAGATTAACATTAACCATCAAATTAAATTAATAAAAACTCATTCAGATAACAAAACAACAACAGAATTCAGATAACAATAGCATGCGAATGCATAAAAAAAGTTATCAGAGTAGTGAAAAGATGAAGATGCTGAAGATCTGCCTGCTTGCAATGCATCTGCTAACCTGTTGTCCAACTCCGAAAGGTGATGGTAGCTTCGTCATGTTGCTCGTTTTATTCATCAATGAAGGAATAATTTTTCATTTTAATTTCAAATATTTTTAGGAATAATTCACAAATACAGATTTTTTTATTTTTTCCATGATTTTCATTTTATTCATCAATAAAGAAAAAATTTTTCCTTTTAATTTCAAATATATTTTGAAACAATTCACAAATACAGATTGATATGTTGTTAAAATTTCATGTATTTATAAAACTATTGGGTTGATCTTATTTCTATTCTAGCCATTAAGTTTAAATCAATCTCCAAATTCCAAGTCTATGAATGATTGTAGGCAAGATTATTCAATAGAAAAATCACAAAAAACACGGTGAAAAATTAAAATCAGATATGAACTGTTGAAATTTTCTTCCGCGTACAACGAACTGCAATGCATTTTGTTGTTTTCATTTACGAAAAAATATTATTATACCGAACATCAATTGTAGTAAAAAAAAAGCTTGAAAATGGTGATAAAAAAAATGAAAGAACATTCACACACAAACGCACGCACGCACACACGTACGCACACACAAACACGTACGCACGCACACACAAACACACACGCACACAAACATCTAAAATTAATTGTTTTTGCAGCACAATAAAACACATTCGGCAGAATTCTTCATTCTCATCGATCGTATCATGACATAAAATGATGAAATCATAGTAGTCAGTCAGCTTGTCAAAATCATCTTATTAATTTCAAAAATTCAACAATAAAAATACCAATACTACCACTACGACTACAACAACTACTACTGCTACTAATTCTGCTGCTGCTACCGCTACGTCATGATCATCATCATCCATTCTGACGTCAGTATCGACAAAGCTTCAAGAAATACATCCTGCAAACAAAACAAAGAAAAAAAACAAAAAATATTAATAGCTTTTTCTGTTAGCTTTTTTTTGAACAAAAAATTCCTGAGAGATTGAACGGAAGCAAGCTTGTCAATAAAAATGAATTAAAAATACTGTTAAAAAGTATATGAATGACTGTGTGCAAAGATATTCAATACAACGATCTCAACTGATGTGAAGTAAAAAGAAATTATATGAAAGGTTGTCAAAAAAAAACCGCGCTAAATAAATTTATATTTAAAAAGATTCATTAAAACAATATCGAAACAACATCAACACCGGATGGACTACAATAACGCGGCAACACAAACATCAATACAACAACAACAACTGCAGCAACAACAACAACAATCATGAATGAAACGAGACGAAACGAGACACACATTATCACATAGATGCCTTCTCGGCCATTCATTCAACGATGATCATCACCAATCAATATGACCTCTGACCTTTATTCTCGCTTGCCATCTCAAACAACGTTAACAAATATACAAAAATATCTAATGTCTTTCCATTGCTGCAATGTATATATGTATGTATGTATGCATGCATCCATATAGGTATGTATGTATTATTGTATGTATGTATGTATGCATATGTATATTCGTATATTATATATATATATATGTTTATATAAAACTTAATCAACCTTAAGAAATTTATTATGTTATAAAACATGCAATCTTCTTATTAGAATAAAAAAATCTATATATATTAAAATGCTTGTCTATTTGTGTGTATGTGTGCGTGTGTATGTGTATGTATGTTTGTGTATTTATGTATGTGTGTGTATGTTTGAACCCATAATTGATTAGAACTATAGGGAAGTAATAATCATATCCGGGTTCAGCTTTATACTATGTTAAATCTATGTTTAATCTATGTTTGTGTGCGTATGTGTATATACGTTCTACGATACATTAAATGATTTCATATCTATTTCATATCATTAAACTGCGTATATGTACGATGAGAATTAGTTTTTGCATGTGTTTGTGTGTCTGCATGTGTGCGTGCGTGTATGCCTGTGTGTGCGTGTGTGATATGTGCAAAAATTTGCTACACTTCATTCTTGTCTTATAAACTTGATTGAACCTTTCATGCATGATAGACTCTAGCGTCATCGTCATCTTCATCATTTTCATCATCATTGTCATCACTATCACTATCTTGGTCCTTGCTATAATCATTTTTTCGTCATCGTATTCATCATTATCTCTATCAGTTTCATCATCTTAAACATGGTTTTTCTTCATTCCAATTCTTGAAACAAACAGTCGCGAAATATACACGTGTGTTTGTATGTGTAGGTGTGCGTGAGTTTTGGCACTTGTGTGTATATCTTTGTATCTTTGTGTGATGTTTAGGTATGTTTGTATATCTGTTTGTATATCTGTTTGTAGGCGTTAGTGTATGTGTATGTGTTTGTTTGCAAAACGGTTTGTATATATTTGCATATCGCCACTCGTGTTAATTAAATTTTCACATGGCACTGTTCAATAAATGTTCGCCCGTTAATAAGTTTTTTTTTGGAAGACATTTTTCAATTTTTCTTAGGAAAAATAACAATAATAATAAAATAATAATAACACTAATTATTATTATTATTATTTTGAATATTAATAGTAAATATTATTACAACATGTGTATGTGTTTGTGTGTAAATGTTTGTGTGTGTTTGTTTGTATCGATTGAAGGTTTTAAATATTCATAAACTTGTCTATTCATTTGTCTATTTATTTTTGTATTTTGTTCATTTGTGTGTATAAACTGGCATTCTTTGTATCTTTTTGTATCATGTGCGTCTTTAAGTTAGACCTAAAACAAGGCCTACATAACTTTGAAAACATTAATAAAAATTTTTAAAGTTGCCCATCAAAAAATATTGATCAAACCGATAGAAAATGAACTTAGATTTTTTTTTTATAAATTTTACAATAATTTTATATTTAATAAATATACTACAATAAATCCACACACACACACACACACAAACAAACAAACAAACACTCACAGACACACATTCACCTACACATATCAAGTATATATACACGTACATATAAATATATCTATGTGTATTGTGTATATTTATATATGCACATGTAACATACATAGAATATGTACGAATATATATATATATATATATATATATATATATATATATATACATACATACATACATACATACATACATACACAGACACGTGTCTGTGTATGTATGTATGCCTATGTATATATGTGTTTTGTATATATGTTTGTATATGTATCTTTGTATATGTATGTGTATATGTATGTGTGCATGTATTTTTTTGTAGGTTGTTAGCATTCGGACTGCCATCCAATGCATCAATACATCATCAATGAAGCGTGCAATGGAACTAACACAGGATCAATCAGCATTTTTGTTTGTACTTAAGCAACACAAGTACACGCGCACACACACGCACACACACAGATACACACACACATATATAAATTTTCTATAATCTCTCTCTCTCTCTCTATATATATATATATAATATAGTATTGTAGGAATTCTACCGAATTGTTGGCATTAATCAATTTAAAGTTTGTCTTTTCAATTTTCCTTGCTAGATTTTTCTGGATATTGTTCAATTTGTTGAAAATAGAATTATAATCCGAGTTCATCATGAAAGTTTAATGGAACTGCTGTTATCAGAACTCACCATGCAGATAGGCCTTATTTCGGTTTTTCACAAATCATCTTCAGTGCATATTCGTACACACCAACATACATTAAAACAAGTCACACACTGATAAACATACAAACATAAATACATAAAATAGAGTAGAAAGCATTGTATATAATGGTCTACATACCCGCACATACACACACACACACACACACGACACACACAAGTACAGAATACACTGGTGTATTTATTTATTGTTGTCGATGGCTGATAAACACAGTCAATGTGATCCGAAAACTTCTCGGCAATAATCTCCTCCTACATGTGTATACTCACTATGTATGTGCGTACATTGGTGATGTATGTATGTATGTATGTGTATGTGTGTGTGTGTGAGTGTGTGTGTGTGTGTGTGTGCGCGTGAGTACACTTACAGACATACACACGCACGCACACAAACATACATACACACATGCACATGCATACTCCTCCGTTGGGTGCATGTTTATATGTGCATTGAGTGCCGCAGTGTGTACATTATTGCGGAAGGATCGGATCAGTGATAACAATGATGATGATGATAGTGATGATGATGA